GTCCCGCGGGCGAGGGGCGCGAGCTCCGCCCCGGCCACCTCCCGGGGAGGCGGCGCGAGGCGGCCAAGACGGAGGGGGGGTAGGGCGGAAGGGGGCGGAGGCGGGGGGGCGGGGCCGACGGCCGGCGGCGGCGGGAGGGGCGGCGGCGGCGGGAGGGGAGCGGGGGAACCCTAGCGCGAGCGTTTTCGGGGCCCTCGCCGAAAACCAATATATCCAGTTCGCTGCCTTTCCTTGTGCCCTCGCCGTCGCAGCCGCCGCCTAACCGTCGCGCCCGCGAACTCCTCACGAGGTCCCAAACCCTAGTCCTTGCCTACCCTACCTCGAGATCCGTCCGTCCATTATCATCTCAGATCAAAGTTTCTTTTTCTTATTCTCTTGTGCGCCAACTCATTCCTTCGTTGCTCATGACTGAATTTCTTGGAATTTGTAGAGAATTTTTGGGTCCTGATCCGAGGAGAGGAGATGTCGGACAGCGAAGAGCACCAGTTCGAGTCGAAGGCAGACGCCGGCGCTTCCAAGACCTACCCGCAGCAGGCCGGCACCATTCGCAAGAACGGCTACATCGTCATCAAGAACCGCCCCTGCAAGGTATCTAGAACGTCCGCCGCTCACTTGCTTGATGTCTTCCGCTTAGATCCCGATGCTATCGCTGTATTTCTGTTAGATCCGTGTGTTCGTCCTGGCGTCTCAGATTGCCGTTGCATGTATACGTGCAATCTCTTTATTTTCCTACGAGCTGGATGGTCATGGATGGAACGTGTGGATATGCGTCACGATCGTGGGGTATACTTGGTTCTGGTCTGCTGTGCTTATCAGTGATACGGGATGTTCTGTGAAATGTCTACCTTGTAGGACAAGTAAATTGTACGTTGGCCATGCACTTTTTTTTTTCTAAATTTGGAATGCCATATGCATCGATCATTTGAAATTTCCAGTTCATGTCTGTGCCAATGTGTCGTCAGATTAGCAGTATAGGCTGGTGTAGATCTACCGCCTGATTAACTTTGCTTAGGCAGTTAGATAAGAATTATTTATTCTTTTCTAACAAAAGGGAAAATCCCAGTCCAGTAATGATCTTTCTTAATTTGAAACTACGCTGTCAGATTCCTCTTGTTTGAATTGCGTAATCTGCTATTATAGAGATCGGTTACTGACTCGTAACATTTGATTGCAATATAATTAACTAATGTCATGAATAAAAAGTCTGTATTCTCAATAAGATTATGCAAGTCTTTGATTTGTTGCATGTTGGTTTGGTGTGGATAATAGGTCTAAACTGATTTGATTTGCCCTCAATGTCAGTTGTTTGCTTTAGTTTTTCTTTTTTACATTAAGCATTGATGGATTTTGACTTTGTAACACTGATATCATACTAGCATTGTTAATTATCTGGATATTGTAAGTAATCTTTGATTGACCATGCTGTGTGTGCATAGTGGTCCATGAACTTTAGTTGGCTGTACCACTTGTTGACCTAGCAAGGTTGTTAACTTATCTGCAAATTTATGTCTTAATGCTGCATACTGCCATGTATTATTTTATTTGTTTGGTGTCATGATTGCAAACTTTCTTACATCTTTGTTCTTTTTACTGCACGAGTTACATAGCCGAGGGTTAACTGGTTCAGGGTTATCATCTTCACTGAAATTTCTGAATATTGGTGATTTCAGTGGGTACTGAAATATTCGACTTATGTCGATTTTTTTTCAAAACTTGGTTGGATTTCATTCAAATTGAAAAGAGTAGTTGTTTGGCTGAACTGAAAAGAAATATGGATTTCAGTGGTGGCCAAAATATGACCAAATATGTGAAGCCTGGATTGGGTTACTTCTTTTTTGCATGTTTTATACCTCTTTTTTTTTGGCATTTGCATTTACTTCTTGCTGCCTCCAGCGGTACCACTGGATAATCAGTTCACCTGTGCTAGCAACGAAGCATTGATCCTGTTTAGCTGTGGTTCTTTATGCATTCCAGATCTGTAGTTTTCACTTTAAATATCAATAAATTCCTAAAGTTGTGGATATTAATGTCTTTATATATTTATTAGGATTAAAATCTTATTTATCTGTTAATTCTCACTCTGCTTGCTATTTTGTTGTTCTGGCTAATATATTTCTAATGACATGCCTTTGAAACAAATGTGCAGGTTGTGGAGGTTTCAACATCTAAAACCGGGAAGCATGGTCATGCCAAGTGCCACTTTGTTGCTATTGACATCTTCACCGGCAAGAAACTTGAAGATATTGTGCCATCTTCTCACAACTGTGATGTCAGCACATTTCTTGAACTTCTTCCTGTTCAAGTGGCTTCTATTGAAACTAAAACATGATCATGTTATATCTTTACAGGTTCCTCATGTGAATCGCACAGAATACCAGCTCATTGATATATCTGAGGATGGATTTGTAAGTTGGATTCTTTCATTAATATCTCTTATATTTTTCATCTTTTGTTGAAACGAGTGTTTAACTGGAGAAATTAACATTTGTTTCAGGTGAGTCTGCTCACTGATAATGGTAACACCAAAGATGACCTCAAGCTCCCGACTGATGAAACCCTCCTTGGCCAGGTTTGTACCATGCTATCCATGCACATTTCTTGCAACTGAAATAGATTTGAGATGCCTTGTTAATATTTAATTAAAGGTGTTGATTAACTAACAAGATATGCACTATTCAGTACACTAGAGTATCTCCTTTTCTTGTTAATTTGGTGTTGGAATTCCTTGTTGATTTAACAGTTCATCAACTCTTTGTATTTGTTTGAACTTGGGAACCTGTGCAGTGGCCAGTGGGCCTAATATTATTTTCTCTAATTTTCCTTAGATTTAGTGTGTTGAAACCACCCCTATGAATAAAAAGCCCATGCAGTTACCACTGTAATGTCTAATCTTTTACATGTGCTGTTTAGAGTAACTTGTGCACGCGAACTATCTCTTCCATAGCCCGCCAGCTCTGATATTGAATTTGTCCATTGGTGCAGATCAAGGATGGGTTTGCTGAAGGGAAGGACCTGGTGGTGTCTGTCATGTCCGCCATGGGAGAGGAGCAGATTAATGCGCTCAAGGACATTGGCCCCAAGTAGTCTGCCCTGTTAGCCATGGACATCGGCCCCAAGAGTGTGGTTCATTTGTCTCTGCCGGTTAAGATGGATTTGGGTGTCACAGCCGTTGAGGAATTGTATCTTTTTGCACAACTAAGTTGTCAGTGTTTGGTTGATTTGTAGTCCTAAATTCATGGGTGACTGTATCCTAAAACTGTCGCTCCGGGGTTTATTGACCCCTCTTGACTATTGGTGCTTTTGGTGTTCCAGTGTGGAGGTAAATTGTGCTTATAAGATGAAGAAAAATAAACTTGCAATTCAACCCTACCTAGAGCAGATTGTAGTGTGCCTGGAGTTTTGCTCATTTTTGCCCTTCCGTGCATCTTTTCAGGATGCTATAAATTGAGCAACACCCGGCCGTGTTGTGTTTTTACTAGTGTTAGCATTTGTAGGTGCAACTTTTGACAGCTGGAGATACTACTCCCTAGAAAGCCTGGTGGCAACAGCAGGCAGATGGTTTTTGTTGCCAATTTTTGATTGTTAGTCCATTACTCTCAGAACGAGGTTGCTTTTTTTTTTTTGAGGGGTTCAGAAGGAGGTTGCTTTCTGTCATTGTCAGAGTGGTCTTGTACGGCATCCTCGTGCAAGGTGTTTTAGCCCCCTTCGGTTCACATGATGAAATGTACTCCCTTCGTAAAGAAATATAAGAGCATTTAGGTCACTATATTTCTTCACGAAGGGAGTAAAAGATGATTCCTATCCTACATAGAAATAAGAATCCATTACTTGACAAGGCTCTCCAAACATGGATTTACAATTTCATGTAAACTATTGCGTGATATGTATTGCCTTTGTTCTGAAAACGTTGAGCCAAAATATGACACTGTCGAGTGAGATGAGATAGATACCTTTTTCTTTCTTTTGTGATGGATTATCTGCAGCTGCGGTGCACCCTGCAGAAAGGTTGCCATTTTCTCCGGCTCTCACAATCATCATCGTGTGCGTGGCTGGCTGCCTGATTTGACAAGAGACTTTTCGGCCGTGATGCCTTCGCCCCAATCATATGAACAAAAAGTAGCAGTCGCCACGTGCTTTTAAATCCTAATAATCCTACGCTACATATGCGCCCGCCTATTATCTTATACTCGTATTATGAAAATGATTAAAGTCCGCCGAGTAAAGATTTATGTGCTTTCTTATGTGTTTTGGTTCAGGTTTTGCCTCCCTGTCTCTATCCAGTGCCAGCGGATTCTTTGCCACAGTTTTTTTTTAGAAAAACTATAAGGGAGACACCAAGAGTATAACTGATGCAATAAACCCAAATTGAAAGTATCATACTTTAAACCTGAGTGGGTGGGAAAGTCAGCCCTTTCTTTGCTACCATCACCATTTTCCTTCTCTTTTTACAAGACTAAGTCATGATCGGACAAAAAGTGTTATGGTCGAACATGTGCGGTCTGGATCGATAACGTTTACGACAATCATGTCTCTTTTGGCCAAAGTATACAAATTCTTATAAAACATCTATATAAAAATTGCTAAGTTTTCTTTCTCATGCCTCCATTGATGAGAGCACGACCTCAGACGTGCCGATGATTTGTCCCGATCTTTTACGATGCAATAACCTCCAAGATCCACCGATAAAAAATATTTCTAATTACACGAGCGGTACGCGTAACCTGGAGCAGGGATGACGACGACCAACGGACAATCCCTCGACACACAAGGAACTTCCGCCGTACTAGACGTTACCAGCGCGCAACCCGTCGGTGACGAACGGACCTCGAGCCAAGCGCAACTTCCATACAGAAAAATCACGCGAGATAAATAACAGCGACACCCAAAGAGGGCCGCTTCGTAATGAATACAATATTCTGTCTAAACTTTAAAAAAAATAGCCTCCGTACATTGGCCGTAGCCTGCCCTTTTTATAGGCGCCACACACCTGATGGAACCGACCCAACATGCAAGATACGAACGATCTATCTCTCTTTTCTAGTTTAACTAAACGAATCTTACCTAATTAACAAACCGGCAAGATTGATCACGTAAGGACCTAGGACTCAAAAGAAAGTCTACGTAAGTAGGACTACTGGATAAAATATAAACTTGACCCTCACGTTACCATGTAGAGCCTGAATTGAAATTCTTTCCAACGAAAAACCAACTACACGGGGCGTTCTAAAATTAGGCTTGATCGCCTCTTCCTTTGGTTCAAGTGTCCATGGGAACTTTAAGAGAACAGATCCAATATAAAACACATGTTCACTGACTGGCTGCACTTGGACGTCTTGTACCTCAGCCATATTTCTCTTCTCCACGATACATTTTTCTGATACTTGTGGCATCGAATTCCAATGATCCAAGTTCTTGTCCTTCTGTTTAGAGCACGAAATAACCTGAAATATTTTTAGATGTGAAACAATATCTTTGGAACCAGTTGTCACATCATCCATTGTAGCGCGTCGTAGGCAAACCTTGTTGCCCCCTTTGAGTCGCTACACCTAACCAATGGCAGTGTGCAGACTTATCATACCCAATTATTGAAACATCAAGTTCAACAATTGATCCATCGACTACATGTCATGGCTGATTCAATAAATGTGATGTCGACTGCTGAAGCATTCTCCTACTACTAGCTGGATGGCAAGATTTTGGTGCGAGATAAATGTTTTTCTATCTTGGATTTCTTGGTGTCACTAATATAGATGGTCTTATATTCAACAAAAAGAAAACTATCCTTAATTTAAAAAAAGTAACGTGGACAACAAGGGTATCTATCGTGGTGCCTCGCTGAAGGCAAATGGATAGAGGGTCTACAATTGTATCTATCGTGGTGCCTCGCTATGATTATTAGGAGTAATATATTGTTTATTTTCAAAAATTAAAGGAGTTATATAGTATTTTGTGACCTTGATTTTTCATGGACATGCGCCCACCGTATTTGGTTGCCACTAAGGCGTCGCCTCGTCGAATTTCCCCAAGTCCTTTTTCCCTTCTCCTGCCCGACTCACAAGAATTATAAATTTCGTTTGATCGAGCTATGTAAGGAGTTTTCGTTAGGTTTTTCTCTAATCGTATTACGGTGTCTTGATTAATGATGTAAGTGGGTAATATGCCATCAAACCTTCATATAGTACGTCTATCCTAAACTCACATACATGTTAACTAGCCAATATATACGTGCGTCGTGCGTTCTAAAGAAAGACATAAACATTCTACTGCTTCCATCAAATATTTAGCGTGCACCCTCTCAATCTGCATCCAATCCAAACCTTGTAATTAGTGCATAAAAAAGAATGTCTTGAATGACTCTACATAATCCCACCAATAATGCAATGTTGCGTAAACTGGCACGGTTTTTTTAGAGAATGTGGTCATGACTTACTTTATTAATTTGGCAAAGTTATATCATTCACTAAAGCATTACAAAAACTAGTGAAACCTACACCCCCGGTCTCTTTTCATCATATTTGCCTTTGCGATCTATTTTTCTTTGCATTTATTTTCAGATCTATTAAACCAAAAATACAAAAATACCTTGCTGCAATTTATTTGTTCCGCGATCTATTTATCCTATTTACCACTTTTACCTCACGTTATTTGCCTATCTTGAGACGTCGTACCCGAAAGGGATAGACAACCCCTTTAACACGTCGGATTGCGAGTATTTATTATTTGTGTGCAGGTGTTGTTTACGTGGTGTGAGGAGGTTCTCCTACTGGTTCAACAACCTTATTCTCATCACTGAGGGAAATACCTACCGTCGCTATACTGCATCATCCATTCCTCTTTGGGAAAATACCGACGTAGTTCTAGCAGACATCAATTCATATAATTTTTGATGGGACAAGTGGACATTTCACATCCCACATAATCTCACGTGAATGATAGACTTAGTTAAACTGTTGTACTGGAATAAAATACTGATGCTCGACATTTCAAGTAACCTCCTACACGATCTAGCACCATCAACCTTCCTTGCCCCCACTTGCTAGCATTACTCACCTGTCGCCCCTCCTCCAGCTACCAATATTACTCAGCTCTCAGGCGTCCCCTCCAAGATTGTAATGGTGTCGCCGCCCTAGTGCATGCTCCCTCGAACTCCCTCTCCCCATGTTGCATCTCGACGACCATGTCACTATGTTAATTGCCTGTTGCTACGAGGATACATATTATAATAGTCAACATCAATCTTTTCTTATATATCTCTAAGTCAAGGGCATTATTTACTAAATTTTCATGTTGACTTCTTACTACGATATTTTCTTTATTGTGCGAAACATATAAGTTTTTTTCCAATCACCTACCGTTGTAAGGTCTTGAGTTATAAAAGAAAAGACCAGCCTAGCCGCCTCTCCAACATCCAAGTCCCCAAGAGCTTAATATTTTTGTCTTTGAACCAGTGTTGCACCGACCTACTAAAATCAATCAAGGCGAGCTCATGGTAGGATGATCCCAACAAAACAACAAGGATTGACAGTGCTCGCTTTACAGAAGCTCGAAAGTCCGTGAAGCCATAATAAATGGGTGCAGCTTCTTGGCTCCTTCGAATTGAGTTAGTGAAGGTCACATCTTAGGTAAATTATTATCCTGAGTTGTCCTATTTGTTTTAGTTCTTTTTGCTCCCTTAAGCTCGCCTTTTTGTCAATTCATAATGTTGATTCAATTTTGTGCGACACTGCAGATACTAAAATGTTCCAAATGAATAAAAATAATATACTGACATGCTACATGACCAAAATAATAATGAAAGCCACTTGTGTATACTAGTAAGCGTGCACGTGCAACGCACGTCCTGCCAATTCAATCAATTTTTCAAATTTCACCTCTATTTAATTTGTATCCTTTTCCATAGCTTTTGTTTGTCTACACCTTTTTTTTAATTCAAACAACTAAAGAAACTAAAAATGGAAATACAATATGTGCTATTCCCGAAAGAAATAAAATGGGAATGTGATATAGGTAATGAATAGGGAGTATCTAGGATGATAAGTACAACATTTGTCGAAATATCCCCAGGACAATAACCTAATTATTTGAAATGCATTGTTTGACCGAGTCACAAAAATGAAGAGTTTATTTGAACAGTGCGCAAAAATGCTCTTCAGATGTATTTTATCAAACAAGGAGTCCGAGTTTGCCAAAATAAAAATTCAGAGCGGTTTGGAAGTATTCTCATCACTTCTCTTTCTCCGCCTCAGAAGCATTCTTCACCCGGGCTCCCAAACGCTTCATCCCTCAGAGCTTTGTCTATATAAAGAGTCAAGGTACTAAACATGCATAGCATATATGTCCAGTCAGTAATAAAATTAGTTTCTAGCACAATGTCGGAGGATTTAAAGATGGGACATTACCGTCTTATGCAAACCTTGTGGAGACCTTTGTATATTTAATGCATACTTCTGCTTTCATTATTGGGCTGATGAAGTGAAAGTTGTGAGATAAAATATTCTAAATCTCCTCTAGCTTCTTTAGCAACTATAAC